GCCAAAATGAATGTTATATTCGTGATCAGGACCCCAAATAACCCTCTATACACAAGTTTACAGCGAATTTGGTGAAAACAGCCCTGGCGCCAATGGCGCCAATGGCGCCAACGCAAAAATGAATGTCATTTTCGTAATCAGGGCATCGAATTAGGCAAAGTTTCGACGAAAATAAAATTTTGAGATTTTGGGGTTGTAATAGTTGAATAGCGCCTTTTTTCACTTTTTATCTTTTCGTGGTACTTTCATGGAATCCTAAGGGTAGCATCTACGTTCGACTCTCATTTAATCTCGGCATGGTAAGATAATTTTCAATTAATTTTTTAGAGCAGCCAAGTGTTTCCAACTTCATTACTTGATAAAGTTATTAAGTTCTTGATTGCGGCTCTACAAACCGAATCTGAAGTGGAATTACTGTATTCAACACGACGGCAATGAGCCATAAATCATTTGAATCACTTGCCGTAGATCACCCTGTTTACTCGCATTGCGCCACGCTTCCTCCTTTATTCGGAATCTCAGCAGTTTTTGCATAGTCTCGATAAAGTCAGCTAAGCTTTCTTTCTTCGACTTTTGAACAGATGTGTGGCCTATGAAACCGCGTGCCTACGCTAGTTGGTGCAGACTCGGCGATCTTGTTCGCCCTAATGAACGAAAGCAACCTCGGTAGAATGCAAAAGTCATTGGTTTTGGCAAGATTTGATCCGAGATTTGATTCACGGGTAATTCAGCGACAGACTGAGAAACTGAGAAAGAACTGGCTGTAGAACCGTTCCGGTCAAGACAATTAACCACTAGTGCGTGCACAAAGATCATCGAGGTAATGTTGCTAAACAGGAAATCCGTGAGTATTGGAAGTAGGCAAATCAGGTAAGCCACTAACATCGAAAATTCTCTGACTTCACATTTTTCCATGACGCAGAGCGACCAATGACTCGGCAAACTGGTTGAATTAGGAGTACTTTATGTCCAACAAGTAAATCACATTAAATGTTTTAGAAACACTTTCGCACTGTCTGAGACTAACGTCTTAACTCCTAGGGCTTTCTTCTTGAGTGCAGTGCTGCTGAGTTTGGTACACATATCAAATTTCAAGACCTCTTTACATTCGAGACACCAATACAAGAGGGGAGAAGAACAAGCTTTTTGTTGCACGACCTAGGACGAATATTAGGGCCAAGTTCTTCGCGTCAAGAGCAGCTACCGAGTTCATAAAATTGTCTAAAAAATTTGTTCTGCCTAGAAGTACAGCTCAATTCAGAATTATCTTGCGGCGTTACCTGAAATGAGGACATGTCGAGGCCTTATGGCGTGGAGAATCCACCATCTTTTTTTGCTACTACCTCATACAGATCATCACTTTTTGTTTGTCGTTTCTTTTATTGCCTTGGAGGCTCTTTTCAGTATTAGGTACCTGTTTTTGATTTTTTCCGCTGGATAAGTTGTATTCTCTCATGTGCCTAAAGCACATGCAATAAATAAATAAATAAATGTGCCACACAAACTGGCATTTAAAAACTTAGGGAACGTCCATTTATAGGCCGAGCTAACCAGGAAGGTCTTTCAGGGCGTGACAAGCTTTTTGAAAACGGTCTTTTGCATGATATAGGGGCAGATGCGGGAACCACAGAACCATGGTTCATTTTTCCTGAACGGCCCTCTGAATACCAGAAAAGGGGTCCCTAGTTCGATTCCTCGTGGTGACAAATTTTTGCATTTCGAGTTGACGTTCCAAAATTCGCGCAAAATGGAGTTAGCATGAATAATTAGTACCATATTCATGATTAGGACCGTCAGTAACCCTTACAAATAGACTTTGATTAAAAAACTGGTGAAAAAGGTGTGACACCACAGTGGGGCTGCTTGGTGTCACACCTCTTACACCAATTTTTAAGTCAAAGTCTTTTTGTAGGGTTACTGACGGCCCTAATCATGAATATGGTACTAATTATTCATGCTAACTCCATTTTGCGCGAATTTTGGAACGTCAACTCGAAATGCAAAAATTTGTCACCACGAGGAATCGAACTAGGGACCCCCTTTTCTGGGCCGTTCAGGAAAAATTAAACATGGTTCTGTGGTCCCCGCATCTGCCCCTATATCATGCAAAAGACCGTTTTCAAAAAGCTCGTCACGCCCTGAAAGACCTTCCTGGTAAGCCTCAAGGGGCCTTTCGAAATCTTTACCCCAACATTAGCCAACGTATTAAAGGCAGTAGAGGCAAAATTGGTGGCCAACGGAAAGAAAGTAGAGACGGTGGGCTTTGCAGCAGTGATAAATAAAGAAACCGAGAGAAACGGCTTAGAACCCGAAAAATGGGAGCCATTCTACTGGCAGATAAGCCTGCGAGTAACACAGAAGTCGTTTGGACGAGTTTGCCTCTGTTGCTGGCGTCATGTCAAACATCGTGCTCTGATTGGTAGAGAAATAAGAAGATGCCGCTTTTGAAGTTAAATTCTGGGATACTGGACGATTTTGGCGTTTGAAGCGACAACAGAGTAAAACTAAGCCTAAAATGCATCGTCCGGAATAGACATCATGATTGAGGTTGCCAAGTTTATACTGAAGAGGTAGAATTTACAATTTGTCCAGGCGCTCTGATCTAGCAGATGAGGCGCGAGTTACGACGGTTTAACTGGTTAATATTTTTCCGATTGATTAGGTAGGGTTTATTGCACTCAAAAATGAATCTCCCTGCGTAACCTAGTCCATTAGCAATGAGAGAAAGCAAAAATGCTACAAAAGGAATAGGTGCGTCGTATTTCTCAGGAAAATCGGAGCGACGGTACATACTTTCTTCCTAAATTCCTCGTTTTTTCCACGGCCGCACGGACTTTCCAACAGTTCCCAACTGATCGCAAGGGCCTCTTGTACCTGGTCGAGCCCCGCGCAACCTACAGTTTTTCTTTGACAAAGCGCTGTTCCACCATCCATACCTCTTCCCTCGTTTTCTGATTGTGCTGTCCTTCTCGACAACCTTCCTCATAAATTCACCCGCTCGTCTCGGCGCGAAATAGGCTTTTATTCGCTACATGGAAAACATCACAGAGCGATCCGAAGCAAATTAGAAGTGATTGACGACGGCGCGGAGAAACGTCGTTTTGGATCGACATTTCAGTGAGAGTTCCCTTGTTCAGCAAAAACCCCTGCATGAGTGGCGAGTGTTCGACTCACCGATCGCAGGGATTCCGTGCAGCGGGCCACCAGTCGCCAACGGTCAGCGTTACTGGAATGATCAAGAAGACTTGCGCCATGCAGATCGGAACGTCCATGTGAGCAGTTCAAAGAGTTGGTACCTATTGCTTCCAGAATTCTTCCAATTGTTTATTCCAGGGACAATATGAGGCAGGAATTGGTACCTGCTAAACGAGTCGCTCTGGATAAGCCATCCAAAAGGCTTGCAAGGTAGGTTTACTGAAAAATTACCTATTCACATAGTAGAATTGCATTTTTCAAATGTTTCTTTTCTCCGAGATCCTTGAACCATGTGCAATGAATCAAAGGCAGCAATCACTGACAAAAGTTCAACGTCGAAATCGGGGCTACGGTGTGACAAAGGAACCAAGGGGAACCAAGGGCCGTATGCTATCCTCCCCGAAGGGTTAGGGGACGAAAATTCCTTTAAATTTTCTCTGTCTTCCCAACTGGGATTGCCCTGATAAAGGGCCTACATTTAATGTATGTATGTAGGTAAAGTAAACATGCACTGAAAATGAAGAAACTATATCGTTCAAAACAAATAAATTTAAAGGAAACTTTGGATCACCTAGCTTCGGGGAAGCATAGCATACGGCCCCAAGAGGAAGGATGGGGGGAGGTGGGCGGGCCTATCAGATTGAACCACCATTATTCCAGTTCTTTTCGGCGATGGACGAGCTTACGGCTAAGTTGATTTCTTTGGCCCAGAGGTTACCGATAGTGGGTGCGAAAATTAGCAGTTACGTTCAAATGTGCGGCACCTTCAAGAAAAAGTTGAACGATAGTGATGATTCTTCTCACATCGGAAGCACTGCTGTTATCATCCTAAGTAACGTCGATTGGTAGGCGTCACCAGGGATTATGGATGAACAAGTTGGAGTTATGCGCCTTCTCATAAATGTGCCTTCGCCTGCTGTATCATCTAATTGCGCAGAGCTCGCACTCGATTTAGAGAGCTATGTGAACACATACTTTGCCTGTATGGAAGCTAGGTAGTAGCCATTGAAGAAGGCATGCCCCAGGATCACATTGGTGTGGCTCTTGCACACGAATGCGAATGTATTGGTGCGAAATGGGCCGGCAGTAAAGAAAAAAGGAAAAGAATCCGTCGAAAACGCTTAGGTTAAGGGCTCACTCACCTTCCTAATCGGCTGTGCTAAGGGAATGAGAGACTAAGCGCGGAGAGGAGAGTATGAGGCGAGAGAGCGCTACAGATGAGAGAGCGCCAGACAACAGCCTGATAAGAGAAAAAATCTGCAGCTTCAGCAGCTTACTTTGCAAGGCCCAAGCGCTCTTGTCGGTTGGTTTCCGTGCACGGAACGCCACATTTGTGATTGTCCTCTAGGGTCTATACTACAGACCGAAGGGAAGCGTTCACACGACCTCTGCCTGGGTTGTGCCTTCAAATATGGTTGCTTATAACTGAGACAGAGAGATGCAATATCAATCTGCTCGATTGATTTGATCCATTGGCTATGGAGGCGCACTTCCCGTCACTGTCTCAAAGGCGAAGTTTATGATGAAAAGGTGGTCCATCATAAATCAATTTAGAGGTAGCCAACGATGCAGGGATGAACGAAAAACCTAGAAAACCCTCAGAACCCGAGGAATAGGACCTTTCCTTGCCCTTGATTTCCGCATTGATGCGACTCTCATCGGTGCTGCCCTCTTCAACGCTAACGCTCTCTCTGCTAAACGGCTAGAGTCAGACGGCGAGAAGCCGGCCGGTGGCGGGCAGCGGTGCTTCGCCGCTGGAGACATCCGCTTTGCTGCGAAATAAGCATTGTCCGGCACACTTATGGGGCCCGCTTTGCCTTTTCAAGCAGGTAAATTTCCCCTCCTTCGACACTATCTTATCGTGAAATCCACCTTCAATTTTGTCGAGAAATCCTCAAAAAGCTGTTTTCAGATGAGCTTATTAAGAAATGAAGTACTCAAATTTCAGCCTCCTGATGTAGTCAAATCTTTGCCGGACCGCCTCCGTAGGAAAATCCTGGAGATCTGGGAGGAGCGCGATCCGGAAGGGGACTGTTTCCAGCAGCAACGACGAACACGGTATCTTTTCAGCGGAGTTATTGACTCTAAATGGATATTTTTCTTTCCAGTCTGATATTGCTGAACCTGCCTCCTTCAATGAGAAAGTCTCTTCGTCCGAAGGCCCTTCAGTGCTCGCTTCCTCATTTCATCGATCGTCTTGAATGGGATCTACAGGTTCGCGTACAAATACGTATTAGATTTCAAACTAATCATCGTCGAGTCTAGTTGTTGAACGGTAATATCTGCTTAGCATGAGCATGGTGGACTCCCACTCATTCATTCATTGAGTGTTCGGGAATGTTAGCAATTCCTATCCCTCAGGA